ATGTTTGAATATATTAAATTGTGCTAAAATGGAGCAACTTCAAGTACATTCAGTGCATTTAAGTGTATTTCTTTACATTATAAATTATACTTTTATATTATTTGAACTACAGTTAGAATATATTTGAAGCTTCATTTTAATGGACTTGAAGAACATTTCAATAGCATTTTAGCTCATTATAAATGTATTAGCATTACAGTAATAGTTTATTATGAAGCTGGTTTTTTTTCACTATTCAAAATGTAAAATTAGAAGTGCAAAAATAATTAAATATAAATGTTAAGACACACACTTTGAAATGAAGAGCACTTTAATATACTATCTTGTGGTGAGACAAATAGACCGTACTATCACCGGGTGAGACAAATAGGAACCTTAAAAACAGGACTTGTTACACGGGGGAGCGAAATCCGGTGTAACACCGGGCCGGTTCCAGTGGCATGTCATGGCCGCCAGCATTGACAAACGACAGCTGTGGACACCAATCAGGCCGTTATTGGTGAGCACTTGCGGGAAGAGGGATAAGGAGCAGTTTGAAGACATGGGTTGTTGGTTCTTGGTGCTTGGGTCTCACGTTGGGTTCCCCTTGGCGTTCTTGTCAGCGGACAGCAGAAAGCAGCAACCGCAGTAACTGTGGGGATGTCTACACATTGAAGACGGGTGAGTGCCTGACACATGGAACTGAGAGAACAGAGTGATTAAGGGCAGCTCTGAAGATCCATGCTGTTACCAAGGAGAGAAGTTAAGTACACTTCATCAACGTACAAAAGGAAAAGTACGAAAGATCCTGTGAACCATTGCTCTAAAGGAGAGTCAGCAGTCTCTTGCATCTGATCTGCTGCCGTTCTACGAGCTGAGAGATCCTGTGAGCCATTGACCTGAGAGGAGAAAGATCTGAGAGTCTACTGACTGCTGCGTCCAACCTGCTGCCATTCTATGAACAGAGATCCTGTAAACCATTGCTCTGAAGGAAAGTCTGCTGACTGCTGCGTCCAATCTGGTGCCGTTCTACAAGCTGAGAGATCCTGCGAACCATTGCCCTGAGAGGAGAACAAGCTGGTTAGTAGTGGTTGGATTTCATACTCACGATTGTTCTGTGTGCTTAGAGATTCTACTGACTTCTTGGTGTGATCTGCTGCCGTTCTACAAGCTGAGAGATCCTGCCAACCATTATTCTGAAGGAGAGTCTGCTGACTGCTGCCTGCATCTGATCTGCTACTGTTTGAGGAACTGAGAAAGCTTACTAACCGCTGCCCCGTAATCGGGAGGAGTATTACAGGGGTTGGACAATGAAACTGAAACACCTGGTTTTACAACACAATAATTTGTTAGTATGGTGAGGGCCTCATTTTTCATCCAAATACAGCACCAATTAATCTTAGGAATGACCGATAGAAGTCCTTCACAGTGACCAGAGGGATTATGAGCCGTTCCTCTTCCAGAACAGTGTCCAGGTCACTATATGATGCTGGTGGACTCGCTCCTCCAAAACACCTCAATAATATTTAGATCTGGTGACTGTGCATGTTCAACATCACTTTCATCTTCATCAAACCCTTCTGTCACAAGTCTTGCTGTGTGTGTTGGTGCATGATCATGCTGATACACGGTTTGAGCATCAGGTGCTCATGATCCTCCAGAAGGGTTTGGTAGTCCTCGGCAGTGTCGTGTCCATCAAATACAATCAGGATTGTCATGATATTGGAGCTCAAACCATCACTGATCCACCCGTGCTTCACTCTGACGATTGGCCGCCAGGCATATAGATGTGAAACCTCCAACATTGGCCAGTGTTTCAGTTTCATTGTCCAACCCCTGTAGCTTGCTATTGTTACCCACCTGTTGTCCTCTGGTGGACGGGAGAGATCTGGTCCTCCGAGGTGGTGTTCCGCCTCCGCCGTCCTGCAAGAAAAGGGTGCACGGCTGTGCCAACGTTACGAGCCAAAATCCCATTCTTCCGCTGTCATCTGTCACAGACCCTCTTGACCTCCCGCTGGCCCGACTTTTTGCGCCGATCCGCCCAGGGAGCGCAAGTTCATTTCCTAGTTAACTGACGTGCGTCTGTGTGCAGGGAGCAAAATAGGAATGAGACATACGTTAGTGTATGAAGTCATTTGCGCCAGGTGCAAGATGGAGCCCAATGTGTTCATATAACTTCAACACATTCAAATAATATGTTGGCTTTAATTAACTTTTTTATGTCAACAGGTTCTGATATGTTGGCTTAAAATAACTTTTTATATTTATTAACAGGCTGCACATAACTGGGTTACATTGAAGCAGTGTCAAAGTTAATGAGATAATTAAGTGAATAATTGAGTGATGATTGAGCATCATTGAAGACACCTGATGTTAACAAGCAGAATCAGAATTTCTGAAGGAGAAAACTGGAATTGAAAGTGATCAGTGCTTGTTTTAGTTGGGCTCTTGGCCCTCCCATTATTAGTTTTAGATTTTGTTTGGCTGCTGAATCTGAGTTATAAAAGCCAGATGAACAAATAGAAAAGGTGATCTGATGGTGTTGGTTGTGTTTTAACATAATCATTATATCACAATCATTTGACCTGAATCACTGAACAAATATGGGCTAGAACCTTATTTCTAAGTTTACCTTATGAATCTCAACAATGATGACAAATATGAAGCTTGCCGCAGTGCATTCTGGGTGCCACCAATCAAAACTCATTCATGGCTCCCATCATGCATTGCTGCATGGATAAATAATGAGCTTTTGTTCAGAGGTGATCTGTTTGTCACCATTGCTGAGATTCATACGCTAATTCTTGATGTCTGTCTCTGCATATAAATGTTTTTTAAAAGTTTCTTTTTTTGTTGATTTGATCATTTGGATTTCATTGAAAAGGCTAAAAATGGTATGCTCTACAATGACAGTGCTGTTATAATCCATAAGGTAAACTTAACTCAGAAACTGGGTTCTATACAAGTTCAGGTCAAATGATTGTGAAATAATGATTATGTTAAAACCCAATCAAATCCATCAGATCACCTTTTTATTTGTTCATCTGGCTGTTATAACTCAGATGAAGCAGACCCTGTTGTGAGGGTCAAGAGCCCAACTAAAACAAATACTGATCTCCATAATGGTGACCTAAAATTCTGTTTTCCTCCTTCAGTGATTCTGCTTGGTAACATCTTCAGGTGTCTTCAATACAGCTCAATCATTACTCAATTATTCAATTAATTATCTCAATAACTTTGACACTGCTTCAGTGTTCATTTAACACTCAGCTCAGTTTAATGGGGTCGCTTAAAATTACTTAATTTCATTGTTGAAGTTACATGAACAAATGATGTTTGTTTAACGTAACCCAGTTATGTGAAACCTGTTTACATAAAAAAGTTAAAGTCAACATATTTTTTTGAGTGCTGTTTCACACATTGTATCAAATAGTGTGTGTAATCTCAGGCATTTCCTCCATTAGATCAACCAGCTTTAAGATGTGTGTTTCTCCAGTGTGTGCAGTGAATGAAGAGCTCTTTAAACACTGCAGTGGAAACATTGTGAAACATCTGTCAGTCTGTGTGTTATTCCACAAACTTCTGCTTTGACCTGCAGACCAAACACACACTCCTGTCAGTAACGTAAGTTCTTCAAGATTTATTCCTCCTTTAATAAACCATTGAACACTTGCAGCTGTGCTGGACTGAATATTCACAACAACAGCATTCTTGCTTCTGCCATTTTGTTCAAATGGAGGATTTACTAACTTTAATCTGACATTTCACCTATTTCAAGCTTTCTAACATTACACACACTCCTCTAAACAACATGTCAAGCAAACTGAGCAAACTGCATTTCAACAATCACACAGAAAACACGTCACGTCATATATTTATCTCTAATGTTTTTAAACAAAGAAAATATATGAAATATATGATTACAATAGTAAATGAATGCATGTTTTTTTAAACTAATGACTGGTTTGTTATTTAGTGCCTGTGAAGATTTCATGAAACAATGGCAGAACAAAACGCCAGCATCAACGGATCAAGTGGAGGAGATTATGAACATGAATTTTGGCATCAGATGTGGGAATATGCTGATAAATATGTTGATGCACACCCAATAATTATCATGATAATTTCAGCCATTACCTGGACCATTGCCGCCATTGAGATTCCAGTCATGATCTTAACTCTGTGTGCGTTGTGTGCTCTTCTCAAATCTCAGCGCTCCACTCCAGTGTTTGTTATTCATTTGATTCTGTCAGATCTCATTCAGATCATTTGTATATTAATGATCTCAATCACATGGTCAGATGAGGTGTTTATTGCATATTTGTATAGTTTGATAGCAGGTGTGTATTTTATGGCATGTGTTGCTCTTGAACGATATGGTTTCTCATCCTATCTGGTCCAGATCTCATCATTCACTGAAAGTCTGCTGTGTTATTTCTGTGATCGTCTGGTTTGTTCCTCTGATCTTTGCAGACTTTAACTCTGATTATCTGTATTCTAACCCTCTGCCCCGAGTGATCGGCTGTTTAATCCCCTACCCGATAATCATTCTGTGTTTTATCGGCACTTGTCACGGTCTTTCACACGCAATATCTCTTTCTTCTGTAAAGCGCAAAAAGATTTTGGGCAGTTTGTTCCTGGTGCTTTTGACTTACACTTTTCTCATTCTCCCCAACATAATCGTGAATTTTATTATAAAATACAGAGCTCACAGTTACAGTTTCAACAGTAGGGTATTGCTCTATATATTTTTGTATTTTTCTTTATATCTCATGTTCCTGAACCTGCTGGCTGACTGTGTCCTGTACATGTTCATCAGGCCTGATGTCGGAGGGTTAATGAAGTCTGTTCACTGCTGTTGTAGAACTGACACTCCTCAGGATTCGACACACACACGGGTCGAACACTCTGGAGACAGTAGTGCAGCGTTTGCCTGCTGTGTTTCTGTCTAAAGCCTGCATCTCATTCACGGACCTGCACTTCAGTTTCAACATCTGCACATACATGAAGTCAATGCCATTCTGTTCACTCACACACCCTTCCTTTCTATAGCATTTAGCTTTATTAGAGACAACTCTTGATTCATCAAACTCTAAACTCAATTGCTCTGTTTGCGGCCCATAAAACACATGCGGTGAACAGAGTTTTATTAAAGATGTGTTGATGTAGTGTTGATGCTTCTGCTGGCGTTCTGGATCAGCAGGACTTTATCATACGATGGAGAGGAGGGGTGTATAAAGCACGGTTTATTCTCACTTCATTCCCCCGATAGACTGACAGATCAACAACATCAAGTAGTTTCAGGTCGTAGTCTTGCTTGTGTTCCTAATGCATATAAATTATACTCTTTTGACCAAATAACTACTATTCACACTGTTACAAAGATAGTCCACTCAAAAACTGACATATTGTACATATGCTCTCATGTCAATCAAAAGATGAATAACTTTCTTTCTTCTGTGGAACATAAAAGACAATATTGTGAGATTTTTTTGTCCATACATTAGAAGTCAGTGGACAGTTTCGGGTGAACTATCCCTAAAAACACTTGATTTAAAGTGCAGAAAGTATATTAGAAGAGATCTAAGTTTATATGAAATATTAACCTGAGCTTGCATGGAAATCAGAAGAGAGTTATTTGTAATATTGTTGTGTTTTTATAGAAGTGTTTCATGTGTCACATATGGAGTCAGAGACTGTCCTGTATTCTCTCTCTTATATCATTAATATAAATAAAGAGCTCTCAGTTCTCCTGTGTGTTTCTTATTTGACCAATAACAGCTGAGATGAACTGAGAACAATAGTTACTGACAAATATACATTATTTACTATATTTAAAACCCCAAATAAACACAGTTTCCGTTAGCGATTCATTAAAAGCATTCATTAAAAAATTCATATATATATATATATATATATATATATATTTATATAAATCAAACAACGAAATCAATGTAGCACATTGTACGAATGTATGAAAAATTGTTTCTCTTTGTCAAAAAAGGGACAATCATCATTAACTTCCAAATTTAACACAGAAGCAAAAGAATTAACAACTAAAACTCATGAAGAATTCTCCATTGCAAATCTCCAACCTTTTTTGATAATGGCGGTTTATATATTACTCTCCATTCTGGTTTTACACTTTCCTTTAAGCCAAAATAATTCCTCCACGGTGTCTCCGATTTCTTGCCTGATGATTCGTATTAAACCCATTACACACACTCCATACAATCTTTCCTTTAGTAGATAATGCATTCAACAACTGCGAGGCCCAAGTTCCAAATGGAAAACCCCTAGAACCGTCCAACTTTGGTGAAAGCATCAAACAAGGAAAAAAATTATTTTCATCAGGAATAGACACTCCAGAAAAATAATCTTTCAACATTAGACTCTCCTCTGTTGTGAGGGTAGACTTTAACTTAAAAAAGAGCAACTAATCGAATAGATCTCGTGCCTAAAAATTCAGCTACTTTTACAGCATTGTCCAATTGTCTTAAAATAATCACTTTTGATTCTTTAAGCTTAAAACTAAAATTAATAAACTGTCATTGTCATTTACATATAACCGTGCCCCAAGAATTAAAGGTTCCTACAGAAGCCAGTAAAGGGAGTACAGGTTTTCGACTCCAAACTTTAAAAAGACTCTTATAGAGAAGTGGAAAAACAGACAGGTACATTTTAATTAGTAGAAAATGATGTTTGTTTAGTGCAAAACCTCCAAAGTTTGGCTAACCAATATGGGCCATTGTCCTCCAGCTGACGTCCAACGCACCGTCTAGAAGTCTCTACAGAAACTAAACGAGAAGCGGCAGTTCTGCTCTGTAAATGTGTCCATTCTTGTCCTCCTCCTCCTTCTTTCGGTAGATAGAGAACACTCTGTCGAATCCAGTGTAGTCTATCTCTTGTATTTTCATCAGTAGTTGAGGAGGAGGATCAATACACGCCAGCTTATGCCACAGTGAAGACGTCAGGTTGGTGATAACAAGAATGCGTCCTCTATAAGACATTTTAGAGAGCAGCCACTTCCATTTCTCTAAACATCCTTTAATTTTTTCAACAACTCCTTCTTGCCACTTTCACCGCATTTCGTCGCGTGAGTGAGTGTAGACAAACCCTGTGCGTCATGCTTCCCCTGTTGAAGACCGGTAACACACGGCCCAAACCACACCAAAAACTACCACAAACTAAAAACAAAGACAAAAAAGGCAGAAAACACAAAGATATTTCGACACAGAAATCAACTTCACTCACCACACTCACAATACAACACTCACACACTCAACACCCACACCGGAAGAGAGAGAGAGAGAGAGAGAGAGAGAGAGAGAGAGAGAGAGAGATGCCGGGGTTGCTGTTAGGAGAAATCGTTCCCAATTTTGAAGCCGATTCCACTTTTGGAAGATTAAAACTTCATGATTTTCTGGGGGATTCGTAAGTGATGCGATCACGTGTGCTTGTGAAATGAGTGTGTGTTGTTTGTTATGTGTTGTTCATCATAGATTACAATACCGCAGTTTTATTCTCAAGAGCAACTTCCTGAGGTCACATCTACCAATATTCCCTCTTTTCTCTCCTCCTCTGAGTTCTTCTGATTGTTCAGTATTGGTTATTGGTGAATTGTGTGGCTTGGATATAAGATGCGTTTCTCTCGTAATGTCCTCACAATGGACAACATGTGCTAGTCAGGACGCTTTGATAAAACCGTACATTGTCAAAGCCGTTGTGTATTCCTGTGTGGTGATTGTGTTTGTAGGTCAGGCGTACGTGACTCGAGACGCCACTGTTACCGCATCTTCAGCTTCATCCAAACGCTGACACGGCTTGACACACATAAAGAGCAGAGTCAACAAAACACTCTGTGTTGAACGCTTTCTCTGAGAACACACACACACACACCTGTTTCTCATTCCCTGGACTAGCGTAGCACTGAGCATGCTTGGCTCACTGAAGTTTTGTCTTATCACGGCTAATATTTGCAAGCATAGTTTCACCTGTGTTCTGCCCCTTGGACTGTTTATGATTCTTGCTGGCTGTATTTTTACCCTCCTCAGTTTGATATTGACCTCGTTTGTTTGATCCCTGCCCCAATTCTTCTCCTGTTATGTCCTCGATTGCTGATTTGCACACGCTGCTGCTTGTAGATCTCTCTGTTAATCTGTATTACAGAGGCCTGCATATGTCCTCCGAGTCCTCGTCACAGTCTGACAAACTGAATCAGCTTTTGGCCTGTCCTCACTTTCTGAGACCCTATTTCAGGGTCAAGACTTGCTTTCAGGGTTGAGGTTATAATAGAGGGAATGCATTGACGTCACTTTCCCGCCGGAACAACCCCCCTCAGCCTGACTGAGTGGCAAAAGATCTGCTGCGTGACTGGACTTAATAGGGGAAAATGCGACTAAAACGAACAATTTTATCAATTTAAACTAAATGTTGGACTCAATATAGTGTTCCTCACAACTTACTAAAGATCCAGTGATCCACGGATATTGACCTGCAGCCAGGAATCGTGTTGCCTGACATTTATGTTTGCCTGATTTCCACACTGGGGAAATAAAAGCAATATAGACCTAAACATAAAGCAAATTTGCCTGTGAACGCTTTATATAAATACAATATAGGTAGGACTAAATCCGGGTGATCACTTATATCAGTGTTATATATAGCCTATATATCATCATATCGTCCAGCCCTTTTTTTTTTTTTTGGTCAGTGTTTATTAAAAAACATCCAATAATGCTGTTATGAACTGCTCCGAGACTGGGAGATGTAGATCCAAATGCAGCTTTATTAAGAATAGTCGTACAGGCAGGGTCGAGAATTGGCAGACAGGACAATGGAGAATAAACAAAGGGAATCCAAGAAACAGGCAGAGGTCAGGGCAGGCAGCAATAATCAGAATCCAAGAACAATCCAAAAATCAAAAACCAGAAAACAAACACGGAAAACGCTCAGAAATGCAGACACACAGTACAACAAGACTTCGCAGGGATTGAACAAATGAACCAGGTATATATAGACAGACAAACAGGATGATACACAGGTGAATGCTATCAGAGAACGAGGTACAGGTGAGTGTGATCAGTGAAGATGAGTCCGAGCAATGAGTTATGGGAAATGTAGTCTGAGAGTGATACAAGACTAATCTGGAGTGCCTTCTGGTGGGTATCAAGGGCACTCCAGCTGGTGACCGTTACATAGCCCCCCTTTAAGGAGCGGATTCCAGACGCTCCTCAAAATGTCCAGGAGGGAGGTGGAGCAGAGGCGGACCTGGGGGCGGGATGGAGGGCCAGGCCCGTGGAGCGGAAGAGGACCTGGAGACTGCGGCGGAGCTGGCTGTGGAGGCGACCAGGTCGGAGCAGGCTGTGGAGGTGGCCAGGGCGGAGCTGGCTGTGCGGGAGACCAAGGCAGTGGAGACCCCTTGGGTGGCCACGGCGGTGAAGACCCCTCGGGCGGCCACGGCGGCGAAGACCTCTCAGGACCAGACACCGGCTCAGGAACAGACACTACAACAGAAATGGTCACAAGGACAGATACAGACACAGAAACAAACACTGGATCGGGAGCAGACACTGGATCGGCCATCTTGTCCGGAGACACTGGATCGGCCATCTTGTCCGGAGACACTGGATCGGCCATCTTGTCCGGAGACACTGGATCGGCCATCTTGTCCGGAGACACTGGATCGGCCATCTTGTCCGGAGACACTGGATCGGCCATCTTGTCCGGAGACACTGGATCGGCCATCTTGTCCGGAGACACTGGATCGGCCATCTTGTCCGGAGACACTGGATCGGAGGTGGCCATCTTGTCCTTAAACAGTGGCTTGGAGGCGGTGACGTGAATAGTCTCTAAATTGGCAGAAGTAACATGAACAGTCTCTGAATATGCCATCTTCTCTATAGACACTGGCTTGGAGGCGGCCATCTTATCCGTAGACACTGTCTTGGAGGCGGCCATCTTGTGCGTAGACACTGGCTCGGAGGCGGCCATCTTGTGCGTAGACACTGGCTCGGAGGCGGCCATCTTGTCCGTAGACACTGGCTCGGAGGCGGCCATCTTGTCCGTAGACACTGGCTCGGAGACGTGAAGCGTCTCTGGCTCGGCAGAAGTGACGTGAACAGGCTCAGACTCGGCAGGGCTGACATGGAACTCAGGCTGGGCTGTCTCTGGCTCGGCAGAAGTGACTTGAAGCATCTCTGGCTCGGCAGAAGTGACTTGAATCTGGCTCGGCAGAAGTGACTTGAAGCGTCTCTGGCTCGGCAGAAGTGACTTGAAGCGTCTCTGGCTCGGCAGAAGTGACTTGAAGCGTCTCTGGCTCGGCAGAAGTGACTTGAAGCGTCTTTGGCTGGACGGTCTGGACGGTCTCTGGCTGGACGGGCTGGACGGTCTCTGGCTGGACGGGCTGGACGGTCTCTGGCTGGACGGGCTGGACGGTCTCTCGCTGGACGGTCTGGACGGTCTCGGGCTGGACGGTCTGGACGGTCTCTCGCTGGACGGTCTTCTTGGCCCTCCGAACTGACATCAGCGGCGGCTGTGTCACGGTGGACATCAGTCCTGGACACCCATAAACGGATGCCATGGCTGGCTTGACGGCTGAAGTAACGAGAAGATTCTCAGGCAGTGCGGTTGTGATAACCTCCTCCTCCACCTTCCCTACGGTGAAGGTGGATCCACAAAACTCCAGGACAAAGTCAATATACTGTGCCAGGGTCCAGCTGGGGTCTTCCTCTGGTAAATTTATCCTAATGTCCTGGTCTAGTCCACTCCAGAAACAATCTTTCATCATTGAATCATCACCGGGAACAAGATGACTATAAAAAAGAAACTCCTCCACATACTCCTCAATGATGCGATTGAACTGATAAATACTACACAATTCTCTCAGCGGATCCTGAATGGTACCTGTTAGACTCATGTTGGTCAACGGTGCTGCTGGATCTCAGTGTGGCGAAGTCTTCTGTTATGAACTGCTCCGAGACTGGGAGATGTAGATCCAAATGCAGCTTTATTTAAGATAGTCGTACAGGCAAGGTCAAGAATTAGCAGACAGGACAATGGAGGTAGTGATGTGACATTTGAAGCGAGGCGTCGGAGCTTGTGTCGAGCAAAAGGGGGCGTGCCAGATGAAGCCGCGATTCGAGGCTTGTGTTGTTAACGTGAAAATCACGTGACTGATGACAAACGAGGCCTCGGTTTGTGTGAAAACGTCATCGGTTCGGTCTGAGTGTCGTTTGTTCGAATCTCGCGCCACCTTGTGGGTGTTGTCAGGAGTAATTGAATCAGTTGAAGTAGCGTCAGGGAGTCAGAGTGAGAGATGTTTCATCGTCGTTATTGTGCAATATATGTGTTAGGGCTGTATATTATTACATTATTAGGTTAGATTAGTTATAGTTTATTGTTATTATTAATTATAGCTATATTATAGTATTGTTATATTAATTAGATAAGATTATTTTGATTGTTTTGGATTTGGACTGGACTGGTTTTTGATTTGGATTGCCCTTTTGGAATTGTTTGCTTTTTGTGACCTAATCCTTTTTTTTCTCATAACGGAGCCAGCAAGAAAGAGCTTATTATTATTTTACTGTCTTGATATAGCTAATAATCCTCACTATAATGGCTGTATAATATTTAAAGGGGCCATCTGCAATCTCCGTTAAAAAATAAATTCATACTCCACATTCCATAACAGATGGGGGCAGTATACCTCCAGAGAGTGATTTGGTCTACTCTAAAGTAACAGACGAGAAACTGCCCAGGCTACGCCCTTATAGTCTATGGCTCCGCCCCTACCTTCACGCCCCAGCCGAAGCCAAGCCAACTCCTAATTGAAGACGATTTGACTCCAGAGGAACGTTAGTTGATGTCAAGAGATTTTTAAATGACATCTTCAAGCTACTCCCCTTCACCTTTACCGGTATGTTCATATTATTTTTGTTTATATTACATATGTATTGTTAGTTTGAATTACATTTATTTGACAGACAGATTAGACAGAACAGGTTATGATATAAAAAAACCCTCATCTCTTAGATTCTGTCATTTTTATTACTTAATTCAAATAATACATACGTTTTTTGGCGCAAGTAAAAGTTAAATGAGAGATCCCTAGGACAAGCTGAAGCGACCATCTCTAATAACGTTAGCTAATAGTAAAAAAAAACTGTGACTGTTAAAAAATATATTAGCCTATGCTACAACTAACCAAAATGTATTCCTCACACTTAATATATATCCAAACCTTTTTTTTTAATCAGCGTACAGGGCAACAACATAGCTGGAGAACAAATATGTCAGATTTACCTCAGGAAATATATTAAATAAAGATAATATATGCCACGTATTTAGAAAGACAAAAAATAGCTATAATGTTAGTGTATTTTGCTATATATGTGTAGGCCTAATACATATTTATTATAATTTTCCTTTTA